TTTATTGTAGAGATGAGGTCTCGCTGCCCAGGCGGGTCTTGAACCCACGGGCTCAGGCAATCCACTCACTTCAGCCTCCCAAAGGCGCAGGATTACAGGCTAAGCCATATTTCTGACTTTTATAAAGTGTTGGTCAACAGTTGGTACCTTGGCAAGGTTGCATTAGGTTAACTTCTTATATGGATGAAGCGATCTGATTCTTTTCATTTTCATCTGATTCTAACTATACTGTAATTTCTAAGAAAACCCTCCTCCCCATGTTTACCATATGTTTCCTTTGTACCAAGTTACTATCAGTAATTCTTCAAATAATCATCAGCTTATAGGTTCAGTCTGCCCTGAGGTGAAGTTTCACTGGTTATAATCTGTTAGCAGTTTTTTTATTGTTACAACTTACTGTTTATATGTCAAGCTTAATTTAGGAGATTAGGCATTTATTGTGGATGCAATTACTAGCTGGAAATGGTGCTTTATAATCTTGTGCAAGTTAAAAAGCCCATATTTAGCAAGAATGTATTAACAAGTTACCATTTTAAAACAGAACCAAAATGTACACTTACAGGTAATATTAAAATTTTTACAAGTAAGAAGAAGAAGTTCATAGAGCAAATTTTGTTTAATTTTGATGAGCTCCAATTTATAGAACTTTTTTCTTTATAGGTCATACTATTAGTGTCATATCTAAGAAACCTTTTTCTACCTTGTATACATCTCCTCCAGCTGCAGAGACTGCATAAACATGTCTATGCATAGGCACATAGACATGGGGGTCTATATCTAGGATCTGTTCTGTTCCATTGATATATTAGTCTATTTCGATACCACTACTATTCTCTTTTGATAACTATAGCTGTATGTCATTCCATAAGTCCCAAAATCAGATAGTGTTTTTTTGTGGGAGGGGTTTCTCCTGAGATACAAGATTTAATAACTCAGTAAGGGTTCATTCTGCCATATACTTTAACCAGGAAAATTCTGATTACAATCAGGAGCAAAACAATGGTAATGATTTTTATCACTATTATCTATTAGTGCTTGATATTGTAAAATCAACTTAAAATTTTCAGAAAATAAGAAGTACAAATATAAAGAAAGAAATAGATAAAATTGTTTGCCATAGAAATAATTCTACATCTTGAAAACAAAAATCAATTCCCTGGAAAATGGAGTACCTGTTCTTCTCTCTCTATATTCACCATTTTTAATTTTTTCTCTTTTTTTTAAAGATGCAAAGAATTGCACAGAAGTTAGATTAGAAAATATAGTTTATTTATAATTAAATAGAGAGAGAGAGAGGAAATTCACCTCCCCAAAGCAGGGAAGGGAGCCAAAGCCAGGAAGCATGGCGAAAGCCATAACTCAAAGAGCGCATGGCCACACCAGAGTCTAGTAAGACAATGGCCACCATTTTTTAAAAGACTACATTTTTATATACATGAAACTATAAACAATATTCTGAAGTATATTTTGAATTGTCTAGGCTTTGAGTCCATGCGTTGTGTCCTAAGTTAAAAATTTATTCTGCACATCTCTTTAAGCTGGGAGGCAGAGGCATTTTCTACACTGCTGTTTTTTAAGTGGTGAAATGTTGTGGAAAGAGCACCGACTTTGTGTCCTCGCTCCACACCTTAACAGCTGCATGAGTTTAAGCAAGTTCCATAACTGATCTGGGCCTATTTTCTCTTAAATAAAATAAGGACAATACCTGTGGATCAATTACATATAGCAACATACACATAGTAGACCATTGTAAAGCATAGCCATGATTTTGAATACAAAATATGCTTTCAACAGGACACCCCTCTGTTCCATCAACTAGCATAACGTTTCCTGTTTTTAATGTTTTTCTTGCTTTGTGGTCACCCCAGTACCTCCAATCTTGACTGAGTCATCACGGGCTCTCCCCAGATCTGTCTTCAACTCTGATATGTCAGAACACTTCACAACTTGACCATTCAGCATTACCTTCCAGGACTCTTCACCTTGTATTTCTAAACACCACATCATTCTCAAAAAGTCATACCTCTGGTTTCATTTTTGGGTTATTCTTTCTTCTATTATCATTCTTTATTAAATTCTGGTGAAAAGTTGCCTGCTAAAGAAAGTTATAAGTGTTACATTCAATCTTTCAATAAACGGTGAGTAATTTTGGAGATATTTTGGCCTTGAGTTTCAGGGAAAGGAATGAGATCCAGTTCTGTGGGTAATGAAGGGTCATTGGAAGATTTTGAACAAGCTGAGAATTAAACTACATAGCGTAGGTGGGGGCCTCTGAAGGGAGACAACCAGTTAGGTGACTCTTGGCAACATTTTCCAAAGGAGTGAGAATCTGAACTAGAGAAATGGCGCAGGGACTGAAGGGAGGGGGCTCTTTTAGATGATTTTGTAAAGGTAGAGTTCAATTTATGGAGGCAGTGGGTATAGCAGCCAAAGAGTCAAAACTGTGCTAAGGTAACCCTAAATATTGCAAAACTCCCTAGTCTTACATTTTTTAGGTTTCAGCTTCTCACTGCAAACTTTGAATGAGTCCTTCAGAAATCCACCTCTTGAAATGCAAGTATATTTGCTCTGGGCTACACATTATGTTGAATAACAGAAACTGGGAAGATGGAAAATAGATGAAGGAGATAATGTTGTTACAAAGTACCTCAAGTAAAATTTGTCTCTTTTTTAACCAGTAAGTTTAACACTAACCAAACACTTTTCAGGAGATGACAGTGTCAAGTCTAGAAATGGTGGCCTTACTGGTGAAGACAATCAGGTGAGAAAATACTCAAAGATCTTGACCCCTAACCATTAATTATATATTGTGCATAGAATGCCATCAACCCCTAATCTGAGACTCTGTAACAAGTGTATTAGACTCACAAGTCAATTAAATATGCTATTCTAACAAATAAAATTTAAATCATGATTATACCAAATGAAAGTCAAGGTTTACACTGAGCGTGGTAGCTCATGCCTATAATCCCAGCACTTTGGGAGGCCAAGAAGGGCAGATTGCTTGAGACTAAGAGTTCAAGACCAGCCTGGGCAATGTAGTAAAATCTTGTTTCTACAAACACTACAAACATTTCCAGGCATAGTGGCGTGCCTGAAGTCCCAGCTACTTGGGATGCTGAGGCAGAAGGATCGCCTGAGCCCAAGAGATCGAGGCTGCCCTGAACCTGATCACGGTGATCCTGCTACAGAGTGAGACACCAACTAAAAAATAAATGCTATAAAATATAAATAGTAAAAGCTACACATTCCAACTTCTATTGGAGAAGGACATTTGTGATTCAATACTACATGTATGCTGCATTTTTATTTTCCTGTGTTGGCTGAAACCACAGGCTCAGAGAGACATAGGCCCGAGTGAGATCCTGGTCCACATTTCCCAGTTGTGTGCCTTCAAGCAAGTTATCATCATCCGTTTTGTCACCTGGGTGGATGTGAAGGTTAAACGAAAAAATTAATGTTTACAGCTCTGCGAGCACAATACCTGTCAGCAACTCTTATGCATAGTATCATAGCAAAGAAAAAGAATGCATTGTTATACATACAATGGCTTTATTTGTTAACATTTGACATATCTATATGGCACACGAAGTAGGAAGTCTCCCTGCTAACCATAATGACTCCTCATCTCTCTCTTTTATATATGTTTTAAAGATGTGGAGTACATGGCTAGGTTCGGTGACGCATCTGTAATCCCAGCAGTTTGGGGGGCCGAGGCGAGTGGATTGCCTGAGCCCACGGGTTCAAGACCCACCCGGACAACTTGGCAAGACCTCTCTCTACAATAAATTTTTAAAAATTTAGCCAGGGGTGGATAGCGCGCCTGTAGTTCCAGCTACCTGGAAGGCTGAGGCGGATGGCTCACCGGAGCCCAGCAAGTCGAGGCCGTGGTGGCCAGGAGCATGACACTGCACGCCAGTCTGGACGACAGAGTGAGACTCCAACTCAAAAAAAAAAATGTGGGGTACAATTCAGGATTAGGTACACAAGTGGTCCTCCTACAGGTGAAGTTTGAGCCTCCCATAGGTCCTTACTTCTCCTGGTGTGGGATGAGGTACTCTTTTTGATGGATGTGTTCCCCCATTCCTTCCCCTGGCAGTGTCCTACTACTGCCAACCCCTTTCATGTAGTATTATGATCAGTGTTCGGGATCCACTGACGAGTGAGAATATGTGATACTCAGTTCTTTGTCTCTGTGACAGATCACTGAGTACGATAGACTCTAAATCCATCCAGATTGCTGTGAAGTCCATAATTTTGTGTAACAACCCCTCGTGTATATGTACCACATTTTTTTTTAAACCAGCCCACCGTCTCTTAACACACAGAACTCTAGAAAAACCTGGGTCTCTCATCTTGCTGCACGTGTAATTGGACGCAAGATTTACATAAAATTCAGGACCCAATTATTCTGCGGTGGGAGGTAGACCAACACTTTGCAGAGAGGGCGAGCCGGGGAGGAGGACGTCTCTGGACCGACAGGGAGGCGATCCCCGCCAGGCTACCCCGAGAGTCGGGTCCACGCGAGGCCGGGCGGGCGCAGAGCGAGCAAGCCGCTCCCTCCACGGCG